AAACAGAGCCCAAAGGATTCTCTGCACATTGCTCCATCTTTCCTCTGCTCATTGCCTGGATTGCTTCAGCACAGCGGCAGTGCATTGGCAAAATGGCGACCACCGCAGCCCTCTCCCGTGCCACCACTCCCTTGTCTTCCAGTCTGTTCCAGGGACAAAAGCTGAGGAGCAGCTCCAGCTCTGTTTTAGGGGCTGCTGTGCCACTTCCAGCCTTGAACAGGAAGAATGTTGCGAAGGTGCGGTGATGAAGCTAAGAGTTGTGTCTTCAATCCATATTTGCTGACAGGATTCTGCTTAGAAACTTCTTGCAGCTGCATGCACGCAAATTGGGAGTGGTAAGGTGGATATTGTTGGTTGGAGTGACAGGTGAAGGCTTTGCACTCAGCCAGGAGTGTCGTTCGAGAAACCAGATTTTAACGCCTGCCGCATGCACGGCTTGAAGTCGTTGGAATGTCTTTCAAGCGGTGCAGGAGGCTGCACAGCAATCAGGTCTCCTATGCTGATAGTTGTGCAGACTCGTTGAGCACAGCAAAGAGCTTGCTTGGAAAGCTGATGCAAGGGGCTAATGCATGTTGAATGACATTCTGACCAACAATGAATTATGGAATTCATCCTCACAAACAGCTGCAAGTGATTATCAGGAACAGCTTTGCATATATTGAAGTGCGATTTTGCTTCTCTGTTTCGTGCGGGGTGAGGATTGCACAGTAATGTATCACTTCCAGTAGCAAGTGGAATGCTGGCGCAAACAAGTAACAGCACCACATGCACTTTGGAGGCCAAGAATGTTTTATTCTTGATAAAAGATGAGAAGCATAAATGGCAGTTGCCGCATTTCGCCGGGCTTCTTGGGCAAGTTAGGAGTGGTCTTTGTGGCTGCTTAATCAAACGACTAGCGACTGTTGCGGATTATAGAAAAGGAGAGAGTGACATGATGCAGAGGACTATTGGGGCTTTTGATAAACGTTGCTTGACGAGCTCTGTGCAAGAGGCCTTGTGCTCCATTCTCCATTCAAATGCATACCTGGATATCCAAAGTAGACCTGGGGCTGTACTGGGCTGGAGAAGTGTCGAAGTTCTGGTTGCACAATAAGGAAACCAAAGTTTTGCATTCTGGTCAAAAGGTCTTACATTTTTGGGCATAAATTTTAAGAGCCGACTTGTGAATCAATACAAATCCCCTGCTTCTTTTCCAGGTTCCCAGGGCACGCTGCCAAGTTGGAGCAGAAGGCAACAGTCAAGTTGCAGGCAGCAGGAGGCATCTTCTACTAGGGGCCTCTGCCGCTGCGGCTGCTGTAAGACAGTTCTACCTCCTTGCTCCATGGTTGCCTTATCACTATTTTAAGCACGGTCCAAGGGCCTGGGAATTGAAAATGTTCGCCAAGAGGTTTACCCTTGACCTTCTTTCTGTCTTATAACTTTTCAAGCAAACTTGAGATATGTAGATGTCGTGTGCCAAACGGGGCAACACAAGAAGGCATCCGGGTACTTGTGAAAAGTCACGGACTTTTTGAAGTTGTGCCAATCCCTTAAGTTCTTGTCCCCACAGGCGGCTGTTCTGCCCCAAATTGTGGTCCCGGAGTCTGCACAAGCTGCCAACTTGACAGAGAGGATCCAGCGAGGGGAGTACCTTGGTGAGACTCCAAGGGGCCTATTCTCTGTGCTCAGTTCTAACAACCAGGAAATGTTAGTTCACTAGACGGCACTGTGGGCCTGATCCTTATAATCACGTTTTATTGTCAGCGAAAGTGCAAGCTGGTGCAGTGAAGCTCCCAAACATCCCTCTTGAGTCAACAAAGCAGGCATCATTTCAAACCTGTGGAAGTTAACATCGAAAGTGTTGTACTGATCGCTAACGTACTGCTGAAGTTACTAAAGATTGCAACCAGTTGGTTCATGGCTAACATGGTTTTTTGACGGATCAATATTCGTATACTAAGCAAGTACTGTTGTTGTCATTGCGAAGGTGATCACAATTGCAGAGTGGTCTTATTGTAAGAGGTATAATAGCGAGAAGGACACCTCATTAACATATTCTTCCAATTGTGCAGTCAAGTTGCGCACGAAGCTCAAGCAGTTCGTCAAAGTGAGGCCTTCGAATCTTCTCCCACCAGCGCCGATCCTTTTCTCTCAAGTCATGCCTGGCTGGTTCCATCACACATACGGAAAGCCTATTTCGTTGGTTTCGTCGACGTTCTGTCAAAAGATACTCCTATTGTGTGAAAGTCAGATTAGGCAGCGTCTAGTTGACACATCCTGCAATTGTTGCATGCATGTGCATCAAAGCGAATACATGTATTGTTGGTAACCAAAGCCCCACCCGGGAGGGCGGGTATGGAGAATAGGATCCAGAACTTGATCTCAGGTTCCCGATCTCAGGACATTCCGGATCTGAGGAAGCTAGCGTAGGGGGTTGAAGTCTGCCTGTAATACATCCCCTAGCTTGCCAGTCTGCGCGTTTGCCGAATGTCCGGGATGCCCAGTAGAAGCTGCTCATTCGATCGCGACCGTCCGATATAGTGTTCAGGGCTCAGATTGCGGAGATTGCGCCCGGCGGAAATGTTCCACGTGGCCTTGCAATCCTGAGATCAGGAATTCTGGATCCTATTCTCCATGCCCGCCCTCCCCGGCGCTTGATCTCATTGCCCGAAACGGCTTCTTCTTGACCTGCAGTCTGACCCGAAGGTCATCAATGACATTCTTGCGTTGGCGCTTCATGATGCCGGAACGTATGACAAGGTGAGCTGCCCCGCCGCTTTGCTTCTCATTGCTGTGAATTGAGCCGGCTACGGTGTAGTTCTTATAGCAAACCCCTACTCAAGCACCTCTGTAGCTATGCTCGCTGCAACATTCGAAGCGAACTGAGCTTGCAGGTTGTACTAATAACCACTTTTCTAGAAGGACTTTTGTAATCTTGCAGGCGTCTGACACCGGGGGCGCAAACGGGTCCATCGTGTTGGATGAGGAGTTGAACCGGCCCGAGAACCAGAAGCTGAAGCCGATTGTGGCCAAGCTGAAGAAAGTAAAGGAGGAGTTCGATGCGGATGCTGGGGAGCAAGGGCCGGTTGGCTGGGCCGATCTGATCTACGTGGCAGGTATGGTGTTACGTGCGGTCTGCCTGCGTCTAGGGGTAATTCAACTACGATTTAGTCATAAATGCCGAGGGCTCTTTAGGGAGCACCATAAAGCTCCTTTTCCAATTCAGTTCTTCTCAAGCCATGATTCTGCTTTTTTCGAAACCTTAGCCGTAATCCAGTCATTCTGTGCTATTCTCCTGAAACTGCTTTGATTTTACCGTTCCGAGTTCGGAAGCCCTTCCTTTTTCGGCAAGCGACACCGCGTTCAGGCAGCCGTCCTGGCTCAGTACCACCAATATTTTTGGCGAGCCATGTTGCCATTTTGTCTTCCACATCCTTCCACAACTTCTTCAATTTTGATTCGGTTCCTATTTCTTCGCAGCTATCCACACTCGCTTCGAATCCGTACTCCAGGTTCCAAAAGCTCTCTTCCTTGTGCAGGCAAGGTCCCCCTTTGGACAAAGATTTTGCCGCCCAATATCATCTTCCTCCCTAGCGTGTATTGCGCGTTCTTCTTTGAATCTCCTCAACTTGTTGCTATTGAAGGGTTTGGCAATGCTAACTCTCATCGCATACGAGGCCACCCACCGGACGCTGTTCCTGCTCAGCACCGTTCAGGCTTCCTCCACTAAAAATTGAAACATTTTGAAAGATGTCTCCGATCGTTCACGAAGTCCAAAGGGTTTAAGACAACTCTCTTTTCTCGCAGGCGAGGCCGCCCTCAGACGCTACTTTTGCTAGCGCTTCTACGACTGTCCCTTTCGCTTATATTGCAACCACCGTCAAGAGTCTCTCTGAAGTTAGTGCTCCTCTCGATCAGGATTCAGAAGGGTATATTTCTCTCCGCAGCCGAGGCCGCTTCCCGGACGCAGTTTTGCTGAGCGCTTCCGACAACTCGTCTTTCACTTATACCGCAATCGCTTGCAAGAATCGTCTCCAAATTACTGCTGCTCTGGGTTCAAGATCTGAAAAAGGTAATTCTCCCCGCAGGCGAGGCTGCCCTCCAGACCCAGTTTTTGTTCAGCGCCATCGAGACGGCCGGCGGCGACGAGAAGAAGGGCGCGCAGCTCGCGGTCGCGTTCGGCTCTGCGGGCCAGTGGGGCTTCTTCGACAAGAAGCTCGGGCGGAAGGACGCAACGGAACCGTCCCCCGCCGGGCGGATTCCGGGCCCCGACGCGCCGCTCTCGGCGTGGGCGGACACGTTCCAGAGGGCGGGGCTCACCCCGAAATATGTGAGGGGCTTACTCGGGCGATTGATGGTTTGAGACTGCGCCGTTATAGTCGCTGAAAGAGCTGTTGTTTCCGCTGCCCTGCAAACACCACAAAGTGCTAAGCTCAACGTCCTATTCAATCGAGCACATTTCTGGCTTCAGGAATGACAAGCTCTGCAAAGAAAAGGCCGCCACTACCGTCATAGGCCGTAACCCCTTCCGCTTCTTGACCACGCTTCTAGACCCACTGGTCAATCCCACCTGTCCGACGCTGGCGCCTTCACTTGAACGAACCACATAGTCCTCTGAACAACGTAAATTAAGGTCAAGTTGTGGTAAGAACGAAGGTAACACTAAAAACTTAAACCTGGAGTGTCCGCACCCGTACCAACGCTAATCCCATACTATCTAATCCCGTCCGTCCCAGTACTATAAGCTGAGCTTACTAGATCTGTTCTAGACACCGATACCAACCACTAAAGCCCCTGTTTGGTTGCAGGTTGTGGCTTTGTCTCTCGGTCTCGGCCCCGATCAAGCCGCCACCGAGGCTGAGTTGGCCAAAGACTCGCGGCTCGCTCGTGCTGTCAAGGACTACCAGAAGAGCCGGCAAACCGTCTCCCAAACCGACTACCAGGCAAGTCGAAACTTCTTTGTGGATTAAAGTCTGGGCCGATCATGCCACGCCTACGGGGTTGGTTGTGCGCTGACGGGCATCTGAATTGCATCGTCGTTGGTTGTTTGGCAACTTCATGCAAAGGGCTCGTTGTTAAATGCGGGCCCCTTCCGTTCCGGGCGAGCTTTTGAGTTCGAATTGATCCAACGATCGATTAGTTTCTGGGACAAAACCCTGGATGCTCGATTCACTACTTCGGAAGCGTAGAACTTGAAGACATCTATAATCAGTCAACTCCGTATCGTTTTGCTCATTCTGCGCCTGGCTGATTTGGTGGCACTCAATGCTTCCTCCAGGTTGATGCCATTGTCAATTTCACCAAGCTCAGCATCTTGGGACAAGAGAAGCTCATCAACTACGAGAAGTACGCCAAGAAGACGAGACCCATCAACCTCAGGTTCTAGACAATGACAGTCATGATTCTGGCGATTTGCAACACAGGATCAGTTGCAGATTACGCTGAAGGTGAGTGTTGCAAAACGAGTTGCGAAGCAGAGTGGCCAGTTAGCGGAACGTGCATTCTTTCTGAATAATAAGCAAGAAAATGCATTGATCATGACAGTCTGGGCTTTTGGCTGGCCTTTCGACGTTACAGTCTAAAAGGCTCAGGCTATAGTATAGAGACGCAGCTGATTGAGCGCGTCCAATTTTCCAGACTCCTAGATGAGATTGAAGCGTAAGCTGAGGTGCATGCAAGCACAGTATCTTGTTTCGGAGTCGGCACTGGCACCCATCGCCATCAAGTCCGTTCATCAAAGGTAGCAACCTGATCTTTGATGGGGATTGAATGGGTATCTATGCATGACTGCTCGGGCGAGGTTAGTGCCGGGGGAGGAGCAAACACAGATGATATCCAGGCTGATGGGCAAAAAGATGGCGCATTCAGGTGGTATGCGCAGATCAGCGACTGCTGCAAGCATGCGCACCAAGTTGACACGCAGCATTCAATGCTAAACGATGTATGCATGTATAGTAGCTACGGTGAAAGCGGATCTAAGTGCAGTTTGAGCTACGTGGTAACTTGAAGGGGCGGCATCTTCTGCAGAGCATGGGCATATACGTACTACTAGTACCAATCTCCGCTATCTTGCGGCGCACTCGATGTGGCACTGATCAGTGCATGGCGTTACGTTGATCGGGTATCATGCATGTATTGTAACGAATAAAATGCTTTTCCACACAATCGAGCTCGTACTCGTCCGACGGTGGCTGGCCGGTGGGAGCTTTGCTCCAGGGCCCGTGCACCACACCCGTCCGCAAAGAGCAATTTATAGAAGCCTGCGTAATCATGACGAGCTATCCAATTTACCACTAATTGGGACCGCCAGGAATCATGGAGGCAAGCTCCAAAAAGCGGCTGCACTTCTTCATGGTGCGCCATGGTGAGTCCGTATGTGTTTCAATTAGAAGAAGACCGCGGTCGGGCCCGGCGCTGCTACAGAACACACGGAAAAGGTGTCACGAGGCAGCTAGCACTCGTATAACACCCGAATTGCTAAAGCGTTCCTGCTGGTTCTTACTCTACAAACCCCGAGGACAGTCTTCTTTGTTGCGTCTCCTCCATAGGATACCACTAAGGACCGCCGATAATGCAAAACCGAGTTAGTCATTTGGCAGGCAATCCTCATGTCCTCAGGTCTACCGTATGTACGTCTCAGCTGCGCATAGCGTATGCGTCCAGCCAAGCGCCCCTATCCTATCGCAAGCCAAACCCTACGCTTGTATAAGGAGTATCGAAGACACGCACATCTTAACGGAGTATACCAGAATTGCCGTACACTGCATTTTAGTCCCTCCGAAGGCCTAACTTACAAATCGAAGTAAAAGCCGGACCCTCTTCGTAAATAAGGTAGCCCCTGGTTAGTCAACTCGTATTTCTCGACGTCGAAAGCATCAACCGTTCCTAATTATCTCCATCAGATTCGACAGCCTTGAGTTGATTTCCCGGCTGCTCACGGCCAGCTGCTTTTCTAAGGAAACCCGCGTTGCTTCAATCTGCAGGTCGAAAATGAAGGGATGACGTCAGAAATAAACGTCAGCAAAGGATCGCGCTGAATTTCCAGCGGTCGCTGCACTTCATGGGCGTTAAAACGCGCTCCCCTATAAAGAGCATCGCGCAGATTTCGGAGAACGTGACCGCTCTGTCTTCTGTGATGGGTCCGCTTGTTGCCAGCCGTTTCCCTTTAAAGAATACGCGCTTCTTCAGAAAATCGTATTCTGCGAATCCGAAACCCCGCCGCACTTTGAGACCACGACCTTCTCTTTTCGGGTTTCCAAGAGGGATTAGGAACGCAAGAATCAGGTTAAAAGTGCTAGATGAACCGCTCATCGGTCGAACCCAGAAAGCGATCTTCTGTCAGGAGCAGTTCCCCACCTGCTTCTGGTGAGTGATGCTCCACTCCTAAACCCGTCGATATAAAATGGTTAGAAAGTTCACCATGCGGACCTTCTTCGAAGAATTTGTACCTCACCTGCTTTTTTGAAAACCCGTTACCATCGATGTGCCCCACCGGTTCGATGATAACCCAAAAGCGCTAACCCCATTTTCAGGCCGCATTCTCTCAGACTTTTGTCTTGCTGGGCTCCACATCCGCTCATTCAAACCCAAGACGTTAACCTCATTTTCGGGGCCTATTCTCACCTGCTTCTCTCAGAAGTTTGTCATGCTCGACGTTCTAAACCGGTTCAATAAAACCGAAAAGCGCTAACCCCATTTTTTCGGGCGCATCCTCTCACCTGCTTCTGGTGCCGGTTGCTCGACGCATAGACTTGCCGCTGCAGCCGGTCCACCGTCTCCTCTAACCGGACAAAGTCCTGCGCCAAAGACGAAGCTCTCAGGATCAGAAACATGCGGCGGAAAGGCCGGAAGAATAATGGTCCTCTGCAGGCGCGAAACGGGACATTGATCGACGAAAATGTACGCAGGGGGTGCTTTGGTTTCTGCTCAAATGCCTATGCTGAAGCTGTTCGATACCAGCTAAACTAGGAACCCCAAACAGTGCCCAGCAAGATGAGATCGGTAGCAGATGCGGGCCGCTCATTCGTACACTCCTGATATATCCTTCCTTTTTTTCGTTTCCTCCTTTCTCTGCATTTTCATGTAAAACTAGTCCCAACCCTGACGGGCGCTCTTCCATATGCCAGTACGTGCCACGAAGCCGCTTCAGAAATGCCTACTGTTGCCAAGTGTACATCACACTCATGCAAAGCATTGGTTTGCTTCAGATGGTTGGATCCCACGCCTCAAAAGACGGAAACTAAGCTTCAAGGAGCACTTCCTTTGTCTCCAGCTCATGAACCGGTAACCCCATGTGTTCTTTTGCTCACAACTTCTTCCGAGCAACCTGCCAGTTTCAGTGGAAACAACAGTGCAAGTTGGTCATTTTGCTGCAGACCAGAACTAGTCTACTTCGGTTGACACTGAAGCTGGCATGTTGCTCGGAAGAAGCTTTACTTTGGAAAAGCTGACTGGGCTTTTAAGTGGCTCAGCCCCCCTGATGTCTTTGGAGAGCTCTCGACGAGCTCGTTCAGAAACATGAACAAACATATCCATCAGATCCGGATGGCCGGAAATCATTTCCCCCCCCTCTTTCTTTCCCGCCTCTTCCCCCCCACCCTCTTGTCCAAAAAATTGGGTCAAGTTCATAACCCTGGTTGCTGCCCCGGACTCACCCCTTCACTTGCAGGCGGTAAGGGGACCGGCGGTTTGAAGTTCGAGGCGGAGTCTGGCGTGAGCCGCGTCAGCAGGACCGGACCCGATTTCGCCAGCGAATCCACGGTTTTCCGCAGCTTGCCCTTGTACTTTTTCCGCACCCTGTGGCCGCGGAAGACCGACTGCGGAGCGGAACAGGCGGGTTTGGGCTTGGTTTGGGTTTGGATCTGGGTTCGACTTTGGATTTACCATCTGGGTTGGGTTTTGGGTTTGACTCTCGGGTGTAGGGTATTACAATTTTGGTGTACGACGCTTGCGGTTACATTCCTGGAGCTTAAGGCTGGCCGTATGCGGCATTATACTGCAATCTCTTGAGGGGCGGCGAATCTCTTTTTTGCATTGGTAAAGGATTTTTGTCATGGCCTCTGGTTTCTGGGTTTCGAAATCCAATGGATGGTATGTGATGTGAGTTTCGGGCATAGCGCTTGAGTGTTCGACGAGTACAGATCTATGAAGAATCAGTCTGGTTCAGGATGTCTTTGCGGCAGATAGTATTGGATTATCACGGATATCCATGAGCTCGTAATCCGATTACGCACATTATACCCTTCTCAGCTCTTCTGAAATAATTGCTCGAGCTCAGATGATCCAAAGACTTACAACCATTCCCTTTGATCTCATAAGGGTGCGCGGCGACCGAAAAGCTGCAAAAAGCTTTCCAGATTTCTTAGCCAATCGGATGGCATTTCAGATTCACGTGGTAGACCAATGTACATACCTTAGGAACATTTTGGCCCGAGAAGTACCGTACCTTCTACC